TGTCACTGCACGGGCTGATCCTTAAACTGCTGTACTGCAGGTTTACTACTTACTAACGGAGAGACAACTTTAGACTGGATCGACATGTCAACTTCCTTCCCACAAGATCAAGATGCCTACCATGCCACTTCCAAAGAAGCCCGCGAATCCCAGAATCAACGAGTTGTCAGCATGTACAACGACATCAAGTATTATAAGAACTCAATCGTCGAGTATCAGGCCATAGTGCGAGCAAGGAAAAAGAACATTCAAGAAGTCGTCGACATGATACAGGTTCCAGACATCAAGGAAAAAACTGTCGAACATTTTGCTTCTCGCTGCCTCGCGCTGGATAAGTTGGGGTCGCTCCATGCAGGACAGATTCTGTTGCTGGAAGAGTTCGAGCTGGGATTTCGAGAAGAGTGGAAACAGAAGAAGAAAGAAAGTCTGGAGAAGAGACTTCGTTTCTTGGTTCCGAAGTTCAAGGAGCTAGACAGGTTGGAGGAGGCGTATAGGCTGGAGGTCTATAGGTTGTCAAAGGAAGTAAGAATCATGTAAAGAATGAAGATGGTAACAAGGACGTTCGTGATATAGAGGAGACAGCAGGTCGGGAATGGACTTCGGTAAGGAGGGAATGAATAAGGTAGTTGCGGCTAGTCCAGAAACTGCTGGAAAAGTGAACGAGAGCTCGTAGGGATCGGTGTTTCAAGGTAGCATGTAGTTTATCGCAGAGTACTCCTAATTTCAGGGACCATGAACGATACAGGTTTGAAAGGGGCTGGTGCACCAACATAATAATGCTGTATAACTCAGAGTCCTCTATTCCGATGATGTGGTGCACCGATAATGAAACGCGTGAGCATGTCGTGCCTGCACATCCGTAGATCGCCAGCCATGCAATTGGCATGATCGCAGATCGGTGGTACAGAGCGTCGTAACATCGGATGCTTCCGGCGTAAGCTTCAGTTCTGTTGTGTGGCGTTCCATCGTCCAAGGTGACCATATCGAAAGACCTGTATTCGTGCGACTGAGAAAGTGGTGAAGGTAGCTGCAAAGCTTATATGCGCTGGCGATGGTACACTGGAGCTCGCAGCGAGAGACATGTGTGACATGTCCTGCATCGAGAAGCGCGTGCAGTGGCGCCAACGAAAAGTAAGTCGGAAGCAAGGAGTGGGAGTAGCCACCCAAGTGCTTGGCCAAGCGTGCCCAGTTTGGACTAGTGTCGCCTCCTTCGGACATCGACATCACCCTTCCGACCCCTACTAATCAAGCATCAGTGCGCGAGACTTGCTACGTCTTCTGGGAGTACAGATTGTTTCTCTTTCCAGGCGACGTCTACGTCTAATGAATCTGGTCTAATTATTCTGGAACACTCCTACTGCACATAATATCCGACGGCAGCTATGCGCAATTGGCATAGCAGTATCTCGGCATGTTTATTCACACATGTTGCGAAACATGCAATCAGCCTCGTGCTTTCTTCTTCCCGAGATTGCGGACGCCGTGTTTGAAGGTACCAGATTGATCACCGGGTGCCCATCACAATAAGCACTTTCCCTTGCATCCCTCGAAAGCCGATTCCCTCTGCAGGCTGCTCAGCCATGTCTCGCAAAATGTGGGCTTTTCCTCTTCTTGCACGTTGGCAGTTGTTTTGCAGTCGGGTAGATACTTATGTGTTGACCTATATGACCCAGCATGTCGCGCGTGAAGTTGCCGCATTGCTTCTAAGTTCGGGTGGTTCCAGTCGTCCTCGTCATGACAAGTTTTCCGGGCACATTTTTGCTCGCAAGCGGTCTCATCCTATGCTTTTCCAATGCTGTCAGTCTTGTCAACATTAGCACATCCGATGTTGTAATTCCGACAAGCGCGACTTCAACAACGAATGACAGCATACCACAACCAACAAAGAGTTGGGTCAGCCCGGAGTACCGATGGCTGTTCGAATTTCCACTACCGATACCGCCTATAAAGCAAGCCAAATTGTGCGTTCTGTCTGAAACAACTCTACTAATGCTGACCCCAAGGTAGTACATACACGAACAGCACTAGTGGAGCAAGCCTCGAATACTATGAGATTGAAGTGAGAAGTCTCACGAAACAGATATACCCAGACCTTCCGCCTACTCATATGGTCGGCTATGATGGCCTCCAACCCGGACCCACCTTCATGATGCGTAAGGGTCAAGGTAAGTCGTACTTTCGCACCTGCCAAGCTCCAGACTGAAGTCATCACTAGAGGCTGTGGTCAGGTTCATTAACAACGGCCCCACACAAGTGTCAGCCCATGTGCATGGTCAATACAATCGTGCGCCTTTCGACGGTTGGGCCGCAGACTATGCATGGACAGGGCAGTATAAAGACTACCATTATCCAAACGCACAGAACGCACGCACCATTTGGTATCATGTGTGACATGGCCATTTGATTCCATAATCTTCGTACTGACGGCTACCAGGACCATACAGAGTATGAGACTGGCGAAAACGTCTATATGGGGCAAGACGGCTTCTATCTGCTTACCGACAATGAAGAACAAGCATTGAACCTACCAACGGGTATCTACGACGTTCCCCTCTCAATTAGCGCCAAGCAATACAGCAGCGACGGATCTCTCGTATACGATACGAATGGCGGCAATGGCATTTTTGGAGACGTGATTCAAGTGTCAGTGATCTCTTCGTCTACGATGCTCCCATTAACGTGCACATAGAAATGGCCAGCCTTGGCCCTTCTTGAGAGTCGAGCCAAGGAAGTACCGCTTTCGACTGCTCAATGGTGCCGTGAGCCGATGTGATTGCGCCCTTGATCCGATGTATTCTTCAGGCGCTGATTATCCAAAGCTTTAAGTTTATCCCTTCAAGAAGACTTAGAAAGTACACCAATGAGCTTCGATGTTATAGCTTCCGACTGTGGTACGTATGTATGGCCTTGAATATCGATTTGCGGAGTAATGATTGTTCAGGTCTCTTTTCGCATCCTGTCGCAACAAGCACGCTAGCTATATCTATGGGTGAACGATATGAGATCATCGTTGACTTCGCCGGGCTCGGAAGTCGCAATGTTACGATGAAAAACGCTCGTGGTCTCATCGGAAACATCGACTTTGCCGCTACCGATGTAGTCATGCGGTTCGTTGTCGGCTCCAGCGTCAGTGATGACTGCAACAACGGCGTGATCCCGTCGAACCTGCGCAGTATTCCTCCACCACCGGCGACCGAAATTTCCAAAGACTTTACCTTTGAACGGCTTGGCGGCGAGTGGCTCATCAATGGCGTTGGCTGGGCTGATATCGAGCACAGGATACTGACTAGACCAGAGCTCGGCGCAGACGAGATATGGGAGCTGCATTATGGTAATGGAACCGGCGTGCACCCTGTACATATCCACCTTGTCGACTTTCAGGTGCTTTCTCGCACGGGCGGAAGAAACGAGGTCCTACCATACGAAGCAGCGGGCATGAAAGACGTCGTTTGGCTGTCTCCGGGTGAGACTGTTCGCGTTGTTGCGAGGTATGCGCCTTGGCAAGGTGTATAGTAAGTCCGAATTATTCGTCTCAGCAATGCCGCTCCTGACAGTACTGATAGCATGTTTCACTGCCACAATCTAGTCCATGAAGACCATGAGTATGTCTTCTGCTTCCGCGAGGTCAATATTCTGCTTACTGACTGCTTGCAGTATGCTGGTAGCCTTCAATGTTACCAACCTTGCCAAATGGGGCTACGATGGCTCTACCGTGTTCATTGACCCAATGGAACCGGCATTCCGACCGAAGAATATCACACCTGAAGACTTCACGAATGAAGCGATTCGTAAGAAATTGGAATGGTTATGGGGCCTGAATGCGTACAACCGGACCGTCACGCTGGCAGCGAGAAGCCCCGCAAGGAATCATATACGCTTGCTAGGAGACCACAGCGGGCAATCGTAGCCTCGATATATGGTGGAACCTTCGAAAACTCTGTCACGCGCGTGTGTAGGAACAGAACAGCAACATTAGGCGGTCAAACACGATTGGTAAAAACACTTTACCCAATCGGCTTGCATGTTCATGTACAACGTTTTCCCATCTGTATCTCAGTCCCCTGTGTCAATAATGCAAACATCACGTCAGACTTCAGTCCAGCATGCGCCCAAACCACTAATCATCTATCTCATCCAACACGAAGCCTTGGGCCCCCACTACTCTCGAAATAGGCCGCAAACAATTCCACAGCTTCTGCACCATCAAATCACCAACAAAAGAGAGCCAATATCTTGACCTATATCATCCGCCGCGATGAGGACAACAACGACATGGCCGTCCTCAAGCCCGAGAAGCTTGACAAGGGAGATTGATACTACGGCTATCTTGATCTGAACCAGGATGAAAGTGACCATGGCATATATTATCATGTGCCAGCAGTGCCGTACAGAGGTATATTGATGATGAAGATGCGAGAGCGTATTCGGGTGATCAAGATGAAGAAGACACCCGTGAGGTGGGAGAGGAAATGCGGTCTATGGCGAAGTCGGCGGCCGAACAGGCGAAGGACGTGGCCATGGAGCGAATAGCGAATGCATTTGAAGAAGGACATGGTGATAATACTAATAGAGAAAGATGTGAGATTGTCGCAAGACAGATCGTGATATAAGCGCAGTAGCTTACAAGCGATCGAATATTTTGCATGCGTAGCTAAACTACTACGGGACCATGTGGCACGGCAAGTCTGAAGTCGATCCATGGACAAAAGGAGCAACATGGCCCAAAAGGTGCCATGTAGTGTTATAGGGCCCAGGTATCTCACAGTCCGAAATGTCTGGCTACCAAACCCAACCATCCACATGCTCGCTATAGCTTTCTAATCACCTCGCATCTACCCGCTTACTCACTATCCCGCTCTCCAACACGTCTTACTCTTTCTCCCCGCCTACGAAACTCACCTCGACAGCGCTCACACCCCAAGAACCTCCTGTACATGTTCTCTACACTGTCCCGTATATATAGTTCTTGGTTATACCCTCTCCTATAGCAACATGACTCATCTCAGATAGTATAGTGGTTAGTATTCCAGCTTGTCATTTCGACAATTCAACCCGCTGGAGACGGAGGTTCGACTCCTTCTCTGAGAGATCAAGTCTTGTCTATTTTTTGCACGAATGGATTGGACTTCGCTGATACTGACGTGCGAAGGGCTGCGAATGCTGAGCGTAATTGGGAACGGGGAAGGTGCGTGTGGTGGTGATACTGTTTTAGGAAAGTCTTCGAACAACGTTGTGGTAAGTGTGGTGTTTGTAAGCCAGCGGCGTGATGTATAAGCAGTGGCGCAGTAAGGATCTATCGGGACTCGTCGAAATTACAGATGTGTGCTTCAATTTGGTTGAATCAGCGATTGAGGGTATTCTGCGTGTTCAGCTTAGGAACAATTTCTGTATTGGGACTTTTGGTTGTGCATTGGCTCACGGTACAACAACGCGACATCGACACGAACCCGCGACAACAGCCGTGATTGCGCAACCCGACCTCTATATTCGAAAACACTTCATTCCGTGATCTCCACTTACCAAATCTCCTTCATTCCGGCTGCTCCATCCCAGCACTAGATTCTCTGGGTCCAGGGCTCGTTGACTCTTTTTCCGAAATGAAGCCCTCACCCGCGAACGTAAGATCCTCATCAAATCCTCTCTCCCGTTCTAATTTCTCAACCACAATCCCAGCACCCCTTACCCAAGACACCCCAGCCCAATCTGTCCCACACTACCCCAGGAAACCCGTTGCAAGGCTTGCAAGGAGAATTCGACTGGGTCCAGGGAGGCCTGTACTCCCACTCGCGCGGCACGGGTAATCAGAAAAGACAGATTTCACGGGGCCCAGGGCAAGGCTTCTAGAAGGCCTGTGAAGAATGTAATGAAGGGGCTTGCCTTGCGCACAAGCATGTTTCAGCGCCCGAAGATGATCTGAAGATCGATTAAGATCAGGGGTTGGGATTTTCAGGGTCTGCACGTGCGCAGACAGCAAAAGTGACTCGCATGTGTGACGTGAAACGGCGCCGTTGACTGTCAGATTTACCGCACAGACGATTCGGGGTTTCGTCGCGACAATGGATTTCATGCCTTCCTGATGCCTGAGGCGCGCATTGCGACACTGCAGGGAACCACTTTTAAAGGTGTCGGTGGAGTGATGAGGCGAGAAACGTGACTGGGACTTTGAGATGTCACTCAGCGGCAACCTGTCGGGCCGACTGTGTGATTGGCCGGAGGTGGCCAACGGGCCCGATCGTCATCGAGTGGTAAGGATGCAACGCGGCTCGGGACAATTGCGCGAAGATTTCGAAGTTGTGTTGAGGTTTGAGTTTTGGATGCTTATCGTAGTTTTGCCGCGTGGAGTTCGGGGAGTTGTGCCAGTGAGCTGAAGTCATTGTGAGCGACGCGAGATGCAGTGAGCAGACGTCATTTCGAAGAGGTTGATGGAGACAGCATGGCTTCCAAGATCTAGATGCATAGCGGACCGTGGTAGGTCTAGGTCACTGGCGTCACTCTTACAGACAACTCACTCATGCATGTGACAGAAGAGGTCGTGGAAAAGTGGTAGAATTTTGACGGGACGACTCAGCGTCTGGTATCGAGAAATGTGCCTCTATATCTTGTTCGTCGATCATGGTCCGAGGCGCAGCCATAGACCTATGCGTAAAGGCGAAGATCGCCTGTCATGTGTGAAGAATTGTAGAGAATAGAATGCCAAAAAACCGTTACTCCAAGTGCTATGCCAAATGAAATCGTCGATGTCCATGCGATAACGGCTACTCCTCGATCACACCAGTTGAGAGCATGCTCTCCTTAAGAGCTTTCTTGTACTCGCGCTCCATACCGTGCTTCACAGCTTCGAGAACATTGTCAACAGTTGCCTTGGGCTGGAAGCGCGGCTTGGTGCCCTCCTGGAAGACACCGGTCTTGACCAAGATGGAGTACCAGTTGGCCTGGTCTGTGTGCTCATTGTACTCATTGGTGCCACGGATGTCGGACTCTGGGGTATCACCGACGAAGTAGACAGTCGATGGCGGAGAGTCGATGTTATGGGTATCTTTGCGCCATTCTTGTAACAGGCGGGTCGCAAATTCGAAGGTACCGATCTGAGGCTTGCCAAACGCCGTGGTCTCAAGGTCTTTGCCGGTGACAGCCTTGTACATAGCCTCGAGGGATACACGAAGGGCACCCATACCGATGCGAGTCAGGTCGTGAGATGCGCTCCAGACGACATCGTTGTGTGAGAAAAAGACCGGTGGGCCCTCATCGTAGTTCTCCGACCTTGTGCCAAGACGACCATTCTTTGACATTAGCAAGTCAAGGATAATCTGCTGATCTGAAGCCCAGTCGCGGGAGTCGGCAAAGACAAAGATGGCTTCAATCTCCACCTCAGCGAAGTTGCGTGCACGAGAGTTCTTGTACTCGTCATCGGTCAACTTGCGGAATGGTGTGGTGTCCTGATTATCCTTTATAATGTCTCCCGGTGTTACACTTTTAAAATGTTAGTCTTGATACCAGGGAAGCGCCGTGAACGTTTACTTACACATCCTTGAAGCCGTAGCCTTCGGCCACGAGGCGGCACTTCTCACCTTCACCGCCAACAACGAGCACCGTGTTGAACTTCTCGGCCATTTCCCGCATGGGAGTGTGGCCACAAATGAACTGTCCAGGAGAAACCTCCAACTCCAATTGTTGGCTGAGCTGGATGCAGCGTTCGGCTTCAGTCTTGCCGCCACCATTGGTGACGAAGATATAAGGCACTTGGATGCCGTATTCGTTTTCTCCATTGAGCATCTTCATGGCTTCAATGGCTTCGGGGATGGGCCGGCCACCTCGAATGAGGACACCATCGATGTCGAAAGCGAAAGCGTACTTATCAGTAACTGATGTTTCCGGAGGTGTGATAATCGGCGATCCCGAGGATGCCGCTGATTCCAGGCGGTGTCTTGCAGTTTCGAACCCGGTGGCTATCTCTGAACCTGCCGATGGAGCCATGAGGTGTTGAGGGGGCACAACTACAGTTGGTCCCATGGTGATGTTCTCGCGAGTTGCCTCCATCGACGACAGGCGCCGTGCGAAGCGGTTGCCCGCAGGAGGTACGATGAGAGAAGGGGCAGACATGTTGGAGATCGAGGTGTGTGAACGATTTTCTGGAGAAAATGGAGACGTTCGGTATTGTAGCTAGTCTCGGTGCTGTTGTGGAACTGGACCTGGGGAATGTGGAGGAAAAGTGGTCTTTATAGCTGTACAGAGGGGCAGTGCACGGATGGGACTCCAGATGGATGCTGGGAGTAGCGGAGAAGAAGTGGGTAAGTGGAGGTCAACTGTGGGTACAGCTTTTGGATACGGTGTATAGCCTCGGTGGAGTAGAGAGTTATATAGCATCCGCAAAATCGCGCTTCCATCCCTGAGCAGCTCATTATTCATGACATACGCTTTCCGAACCTATAGCGGCCGATTTCTCTGCAGTCGCACGTCAGTCGCAGGACTCTACGAGAAAAAGCTTATCAGTTGAGAGCCGCCGTTGTGCTTCAGTGTGGATCCCATGGCGTCATACTTGTTCGATCAGGAACAACGACTCTGGCATGTGTCGGTGCGCTCGATAGCGGTGCTGCGGTTAGAATGCATCACAACCATTGAGGAGAGAATTGTGATGTCTTTCTGTGCGCTCATTCGACCGTCGGTATCGGCAAGGTCGCAGTCACGGTGAATATGCAACCACGGCAAACGGCTTCCTGCGCCTCAAGCGCAGAACAGCAGGAGATTGGCGAAGGCTTCTCGGGCCTTGCAGTTCCTTGCAGAACCATGTGCGTGCTACGGCCGCGCTCGACTATTGCTGTGGGACGGTGTCGTAAAACTGTGAAGTTGTCATGCAAGATGACATCATTTGCTGATTAGGGCGCATTTGGCCGAAGCGCGTTCCCAAGGACTGCCGAGCAATCTAGCGGGATAGCAAGTAACATCGTTCTGCTTGCTATGATCGACAGAATCTCTTACTGTAGACGAGAATGACCCGGACGTGTTCTCGCTGCCAAGTACCGGAAAGTTCAATGAGGCAAGTTGAGGCTCAGCTCAGGACTGCATTATTTCGGCACACATTCCCGCTTCAATGAGCCTAGTGTTCGCGTGTTTCACCCTTCACTCCCACACAACCAAAGCTCTGGATGTGTTGCGATATGTTGATGATCATCGCGACTCATCTGTATATCCAACCGCACAAAATCGCTTGCTCGCGGCGTGCCAAAAGTCTTATCGCTCTACTCACATGCATGCAGCCAGATGAGCATCTTCCGCATGGAAGAAGAAGGTACGTGCATAATCGCGACTGGCGACGGCTTACATGTAGTGGGTCGCTTGTATGGCAGTATCCACAGAGGTACCTACCATGCAACGCTTGACGTAACTGTACATCCGAGTACATCTTCCCATGGAGCGTGGAGCGCATCTGGGTTCTGTCGAAAGGAGCGGATCTCAACACGCAATCGCAACATGCTGCGTTCTTTTGGTCTAAGTGGAAGTCAGTGGAAACTTTAAAACCCCATGGTACTTGCCAATTGCTCGGAATCTGACATCGATGGTCGATGTCGCAACCAGGACAAAACCGGTGACGCTTTGGTTGTCACTGCACAGCGAAGCCCGAAATTGATCGCCTCACGACGACACAACTTCTGGTCAGAGAATGTCAAGACATCCGTTTGTCTAGCGAGCTCGAACTACGAGGTGTTCGTACATGCAGTCGTAGCTAGCTGCTGCGCGCTCGGCCATGCGAAACGCTATATGACCGCTCCCATGGGTGTCTAAATGCGCAGATTGTGGGGTTGTTACGGTTGACTCAGTACGAAGACTGACAATCGCAATACCTTTTTAGTATTGGAGACCTGAGCAGCATGTGAACCGGGACTTTTGCGGCCTTGAAGAATTCGCGAATCAAGCCGCCACGTGAAAAATTAGCTAACATTGTAGACTCCCTGTTGCTCCACCCCACCTTCTCCTTGTTCCCATCTGACCGACGGGCTCTTTCAGTGCGAAAATCCACCTCGTCTTAATAATATCGATGCAGGGATGCAGATCACCCCATGGCACTCGGATGGCAGTGTGGGGAGGGTGGA